GTGACATTAGCGGAAATGGGTAATGTATGCACAATAGGTTGCAGCGGTTGCTGCCTCCTTATGAAAATTAACTGCTCCCCACTCCTATAGAGGCTAGCTGCTGGCTTACGCGCTAATGTTTTAGTGGCGTCAATTGCCCGCCAATTCTCCACTCATTCGACGAGACCCGGTCACACATTCAAATTTGGTGAAGCCGAAATTCTCGTGAAAGGTGACAACGGCGTGAGTTGCAAATTACATTATTCATGCTTTAGGGGTCCCCAGTCTCTAAGCAAGTGCGCTGACCTGCCCAACCCATATTCGGTACTGAGACTAAGTTTGGCCAAAGCGATTCGCCACTCGGGGAAGGCACAGACGAACGCGTTGTCTAATGCCTGCGTCAGGAAGCCAGATGGCCGAGCAATCATCACGCCCATGTCCAGCACGGGTGATGAAAGTTCAGCAAGTCATGACCCGTATGTTGGCCATCAACCACTTAACGCACAGGCGGTTAAATGCCCTCGGTAGGAGCGGAAAGCCGTTAATTGTCATAAGCATGAAGAAGCATAGCGACGGTGTCCTATAAATAGTGCAACACCGTGTGCATGAATTATCCGCGACAGATTTTAAAATGTCAGACGATGTAAATTCTTGTCCCAGCGATCAAATCTGCTTCTTCTCAATGATGATCCTTACTAGCGAAGACGGTGGTCATGGAAATAACGACGTATGACTCATTTACGTTAGTATTTATCTGCACATTAACCTCGGGGCAGGAGTTCCTGTGATTCGAACCTTTATCTTACCCTTCGGAACTCTACATGCTGAGCTACTAAATAATACCCTGTCAGTTATGATGGGACTTGTGGCGATCCACTTATCAGTGGCGCGCTGCGATTTAGTTTGACTACTTTAAGAATAGAGCATTTGGCTTGAAGTCAAAGCCTTGGGAGTATCAAATTCTGCTTTTTAAGTCTCTTCGGCTGACCGGTGACGGTGCTGACAGCAACTAAGGTTAGCATTCGTTACCTCAGTTCCCGCTATCTCCGTCGGCAGCACGCCCGGGTTATTTATCGTTCATCTCTTTGCGTTTGCCTTCGCAGGCTTACAGTTGCAAAATCAGGTGTCGTGCAACTCGCGAGCATAAACCTTGCCTTAGGGTTTTGTATCCGTTGAAATGTAGGCATCCCAAGTAATATAGTTTGAGGTTACTGAGGGAAAGATAGGTGAATGCCTTTGAGCTCCCTACTGGTAACAAGTTGGCTAAAAATTCATGGATAGAAAAGAGAAATGGAAAAATAAATACTTCAATTACATGCTTGCAAGCGAAGAGCGAAAAGTTGGTCAATTGAAATAGCAATAAAACAGTAACCACTGAGTGTTTCAAATGCATACATTTCATGAATGTGTTCGTCCGAACGCAGTACACACAAACGTAAGACCATTACCAAGCAAGATTGGGGGGAAAGCAGTTACTGATCCTTTTTTAAGGTCAAATTCTGAGGCTAACCCATAGATTGTCGGCTTCTTGTTAAACAAATGAGGACTTTTTCGTACTCTGGTAGGCGCGAAAGAGCCTGTGTTTTAATTGGGGAATATAACGCTTTTTTCACCTAAAGTGCTTGAATATTATAGCGGAAAAAAACTGAAAAATCCCTCCAGAACCAACAAAGTAATTCAAGAATTGCATTTCCATTACGGACAGGTGAACCTGGCTTGTAAACAGCGCTATTATTAGGGCCGCAAAAAGGGCTAAGTGAAGTCTTATGCTGTTAAATGGGAAGGGTGGTATTCAAGACAAGATAAAAATTCAGTTGACTATTCCAAGAAGAGTCAGAAGGAAGTTAAATTTTTGGATATTTAATGTGCTTCTGCTAACCATTCTTTATGGCATTTCACTATAATTGACTGTTTTTTTAACTTGTTATATTGTTGCCCAAACGTTACGCCAGCTCCTCAACCTCTCCAATAACACGAAAACCACTGATTATTTGATAGCTGAGGATTTTATTTACTACAGCCCCAATTTGTGCCACATTTTTCAGATAATGCCGTTTAGTTAGTGAAATCCGGCCCTTTAAAAGACATGCTGGGAATCCTTTAAGTCCGCCACAAGTTCAGCTTAATTCATTTTTATCTCTGCCATTGTAAAATAAGTCTCCTGCTGAACTTCCGCTTCAAATGCTGCAATGCAAGGTCCCATCGTGAGGGATATTAAACTGTCAGCCATGAGGGAAAGGCTCAGAGAGTTGGATAAACCCCATCTCAAAACCCCCCACCAACTTGGGTAAATGTGCTCAACTGAGCGGAATCGAAAAAGCAATGTTTTGCCTGTAAATGTCTAGAAAACTTCTGTCTAAAAGTTTGAAGTCCAAATTGCCGGAATAAATAAAAAGTTTTTTTAAAAAAGGATTTAGATGGAGGTCAGACAGTGATTTTCATCCCAGCAGATAACATTTAACGACTACTAGAGTATCATATTATATTTGAAGTTTTTATGTTCCCTATAGAACGTATTCTTGACAATAACGGTCTAATGTAGTTTACGATGGAATCCCCCGACGACAATTCGGGAGTAGAAGTGGGCGAAGGT